AAGGTACAAAAATTTTGTCAATAAAAGCCACAAATAACTAGTGATGGGCATAATCGAATGAATCTTAACGAATAATTCGATAGTTGTCTGTCATTCGAGATATTCGATAGTAGAAAATACATTCATTCATTAAAAATCATTCTTAAAAATAATTCATTAAAAATCATTCATTAAGAAGACATGAATAAGAGCACAATACCGAATTATCGAATAAAATCATTTGTTTCGTTCTCACGTACAGTTAGTTAATGTGGGTTTTAAGAAATTGCTATTAAAAAAAAACAATATGGTCTAAATTTTTCGCCTTTCAGTCATTAACTGTCTTGTTTTTGAAAAAATTCTTTCTGCAGGCTCTGATGTCGCAGGTGTAGATAAATGATTTTGATTGAGTTATCCAATGATTTGAACTATCGAATGAATCATTCTACCACCATTTATTTGCTCAAACGATTGAATAAAATAAATGAATTAATTTTAATGAATGATTCATTCGATAGTTCAAATCATTCGATAAATGATTATTCGATAGTCAAAATCATTTGATTGTGCCCAACACTACAAATAACATTAAACAGAGTTATAATTTAGGATACAGTTTCTTTGTTTCCCCTTGTAATAGCCTGTAGCAAAAAAAACTCGGAAAATTATTTTTCCAACAGAAATAAATAGAGTCAAAGTGCAAAATTTAAACTCTCAGAACTTCGGAATTTTTATAGATAGAATTTTTTTCAGGTTTCTGGTATCTGGTGCACTTTGTATATAAATACTTTGCAAATATGCTTGTATTTTTTACACAATTTATCAATTACTGCTATACGTGTTGTGTTTTTTACAATAATTGTATACATGTTCGGTGCTCTCTCTTCTCTTCTCCAGCCGTTGACTGCAAACAATTCCTATGCCAATAAAGGCCAATGGCAAGTGTGAATCTGGACATCCAATTTAGCCACTTGTATGACATTATATGGATAATATCGATCTGGTGGTAACGTGTGCTATTTTACTTTGCATTAGTATTGCAACTGCGTTCCTAATCTGCGCACTCTTGTATTGAGTACAGTATTGGGGGTGTAGCATGTAGTGGTTAATTATTTCGTGACAATGAATGAATAAAAGTGATGGATTCTAAAGAAAATTAAAAAAATGCGTTGATTTAGCGTAATAATAATGTAACTAGTTACAATTAGTTAGTAAATATATTCTGGTAGTATGTTGTATGCCGACCACGTATCGGTGGTAATAATAAAGGGCGCGTTGAGAGGGCCAGCTTGTGGTGGTGTGTTGTGGTTTTCAGCGGCGGCAAAATGCTCGGGGGCTAGGGGAGAAACGGCGGTGCGTCTCTTGCGTGTTTAGGCTGAGAAGCGCCATCTGCTCTTGTGCCACCGTGTTGTCATAATCAGGAAGTGATCGTCGAAAGTCAGGTTAAATCTTATGCTAACGCAATTACATTGCAGAAAGTACGATCTCGAACACCGACAATCGTCATTTTGCCTAATTTACAAATTTCATAAAATTATTTTCTTTTAACTATTTATTTTTGAACTCTTGGAGCACCATTAAATTACTCCAGAAATACAAAGCTTAAGTGTACAAAACGTATATTGAAAAGAAAGAAATAAAAACAAAGGTATGAATGTTTGAAAATTTTACAATTCGATCACTTCTAGTCAGCACCCTGTAGAACAAAAACAAATAAAATGATTAAGTTATTACAAAAAGTGATAATTACATAAGGTTAACAATTCTCTACTTATTTTTATTAAAAAAAAGCAAGTCTTAACATTTTTTACCTCAGGATTATGCATTCAAGATACTTTCTGATAGACATGATGAATTACAAAAAAATACAAATGTTTCCGGATCAATAGTGTCGGTACACCGTTTTCAAACAGAAGATTTAATTCTTTAATGGCTATTTAACATTACTTCTTTATTAAAACAACGTTGAATAATGTACATATTACGCAGAAAGATTACCATTAGCAAGAATTTTTTAATTAAAATTAAAATTGTAGGTTCAATTTTAATTAATTCTTCCAAACATTGTTTACACCGAGCTGTTACTTATTTAATAAATGCGCTCTTGAAAGCTAGACAGTATTTCCATCCGAATGTTGCATAATTATATTTAAAGGTAAAACACGATTTTTCAAAGATTTGGCGTAGATTTATAACTGTGAGGCTTGAGACACACACTTACGCAGTGTACGCACACACATACTAACTGTTGGTTGGCAATTGTTTTTATTTCACTATTGTGGTAAGACTGACAAGATGGCTGCAAACTTGTTGAGCGGGTTCTTGAAATGTATAGTATTCTAGAACTGTAACAAGTAGACATTGCTTTAAAGTTTGCCAACTTAATTCAAAATGTTTCTTCATATTCAATTATCCTCTACCCCTAATGTGATTTCCTTTTGAAAGCTATATTAAATTTAAATCAATAGATAATTACCTCATTTCTCATTGTTATTACATTTCACTCTCCAATAAATTGTATTTACAAGAATCAACATTTTTCTTCAAATGTTTGCTTGTTAATTTTTATTTTAATTAGATGCAAAAAAGTAGCAACGTGCCAAAACACAATATACTCTTAATTAAAAAGCAGTATTTATAAATGATATTTTATTATCCTTTTCAACATAAACAAGAAAGATTAATTCTGCTGCTGTAAAACACTAAGTGTGATAATTAAGATTAAGCTTTGCCCCCAGGAAACACACTGTCTAACCGCAGGAAATTCTTTCAAGATTATATGCCGTTGAAGTCTTTGTTTACGACTCTACGATTTTTCCTCAACTTATAATCCAACTGTTTGTCTAAAAGTCACATCAGTACAAACTTAAACTAAATAATTAAATAAAAACTCATAAATATCTGACTTCTCTTACATAACGTCATCAAATACAACAAAAATATCTACGGTTTTTTTTAATACTATTCAAAACTGAATTAAACCACAATAGTAAGTACTATAACTTAAAACTGGCACTATATAAATACCGGTTTTTACTAATTCAAACTTAGTAATGATTCAAACTAAGATATGTCTACCAGAAAGTGTAGATGCAATTTGCTTTTAGAGGCGTGAAGATGTCTCAGTTGATTCCACAGCAAACCGCACTCTGACAACTTACAGCCATGTAGTTGTATAGATAGGATTGTTTTGGTATTCAGCAAGTATTTGTAAGAATATTTATATAATATTTAGAACGAAACCATAGATACTTACAATATGCCCAAGAGATGGGGACACACTATGTGCATGCTATGTAAAACAAAGGTCATAGTATATTTCGATTATGTAGTTGCAAAAACTTGCAAACGTTTGATTGAATTTTGTTGACGCTATTGGTGTGTTTGTTTTTCAATTGATTTTAAATCAAAAAGCAGCAACAAACTTGTTAAAAACATAATGTGGAATAATGAATGATTAGTTTATACTTAATTTTTATTTAGAGTTCAAATTTCTTTATTACAGTTTAGTATATAGTAGGAGCAATATTTGAGTTTAATTATTTTGTACCCGGAATATTGAAGTTTTAAAACAGTCAATTTTATTTAGTTTTTTAACTCCTGGGATCATTATTGACTTGGAGGGTGAACTGAGATGCAGTATTCGAAACATACAATTTTGTTGGAAATTTTTTCAAGACGTTTGAAGCACTGATTTGATTTTTTTTAACAAGCTTAACTTTAAATGTGCATTAAAAATTAATGTTATAACTTGTAGGAGGTGTAAGTAAAAAATTTCAAAGTGTTTCTTGTTAGTAATTAGTAGTTTGCTAAGATGGAGGAGACAGGTTTTCCGTGTCTTACTTTATCCCAATCTTCGATCTTAGCGGTATTAAGTACACACAAAAGTTACACAACCCCAAAGATCTCACGAGATTTCTTACGTATAAAATGAAGTCAAGTAAAATCGTGAACGTGACTTGAAATAGATTGTTGCTAATAAACGTTTGTTCTATCTTTTTAGCTCTTTCACTTATGTCTAAAAGACAAAGTTATTCTTTTTAATTACCTGCACAATTAATTTTTGTAAAGAATCCACTTAACAGCACAATCTTAATATCAATCTTAATTATATTTTTCGTATATTAAGAATGCTTTCCTTAAAACTAATTAAATAATACTGGTACTTTACTTTAGTTTAGTGCTAGAAAAGAGATTCATTAATTCGAAGGTTTTCAATAGAAAGCATGTTGTGAGTTTGCAACTGGATCGATATACCGTTTGGTTTCTAGAGTGTAATCTCAATAGAGACAGGATATTCTCACTGTTATGCACTTTCTATTCGTTAAAAGAGCCCGAAACTTGACCTATAATGATGTCAATTCGTTCAACAATCTGACATTCTCTACATTTCACGACTCCGCAAACTTTGATTCCACAGTTCGAACAATTATTGGCGAATCTACGTCTAAGTACACAAGTTCAATCTTTCAAAGGTTTAATAATTTAATAGTTTTTTCAACATTAATTTGTCTGGAATGCGTTTTTTAATACAAGCGGCTTTTCTTACAATTTCTTATTCACTACAAATTTTAACACAATGAAGCCACATCACAAAAAATAGATACAAGTCGTCGTTTGTACTTTTAAAATTTTAAAAAACCACATTCTACATTAAGCTATTTGAAATTCTCTTAATTGATAGCGAGTTTTGCTAATTACAAAAAATTCTTTAAGCGTGAATATCACCAAACAGCAAAAGTTCAGTTCACTAAAATTACAATGAAAATCTTATGAAACAGACTGCATTACAGATGGACAGTTTTAATAGGGTAGAAACCACAAAGGTTTATATCTGCCTCTCTACTTGACTTACGATTTCAATATTAGTTATTCTGTGTTTTATTCAAAGTCTGAATTTCTATTTTTAGTTTTGTTTAAGGTTTTATGATATAAATGCATCCTTTTGTTAATAATAAAACACTTATTTAAATCATTTGTGGTATTAGTTAAATTTTGCTAATATAAGTTTGTCCTTTTAGTGGTCGTTGAGGAACCTGAATTTACAGACACTATAGAAAATATAACAGTAGCAGCAGGCCGCAACGTAAAGTTCGCATGCTCTGTCAAGAATCTTGGAACTTACAAGGTAGGTAAACATTTACATCAATTTGTCTTTTAATTGTGTTTTGAATAATACATTATTTGAAAGTCAACGTTTGTTACATTTATAGAGAAATTTGCAGAACATGTTTTACCTACAGTGTGTTTAGATTGTATACATTAACAAAACATTAACAGTTTTAAAATCAAATGATTATATTTTATCAAGACAGTGTGAAAATCCGGTAAAAATATTCAGTCACATTTTGCTGAAATAGTCATGACTTTATGGTGAGGATTTATTTCACCGACAGGCGTCCCAGAGGTCTACTTTACAACTTTATTGACGCCCTAACTCACTAAACTTGTGTAAAAAGCATCCACGTTTGTTTAATGCTTTTTTATAGTTCAAGAGTTGTCAAGATGTGGTTTTGAATTATTATCATCTGCTTTATTACAATTTTGCTCTTTTGAATAATACTACTCATTTTCAATACAAGGTAAACTTATTTGCTCAATTTTTTAATGCCATTTAATGGCGAGACCGTAGCTGGCACCTACCCCATCATCACTTTTGATTTATTCGCACCGACAACACCAAAACACATAAAACTTTATACTATCCAAACTTTTTAAATATCTATTATAATTAAAATTAAGTCGTGATTTGGAAATACCAGTTGGCTAAAGATCTTCTTTCAAATAAATAATCATATGTGATATGAGTTTACTAACATGTCAACTAATTCCGGACGTTTTAAATAAAATTTTTTCGAGATGCTGACCACTGGCTAAAAATTAAATATAGTGTTTAGATTAAAAAGTCTCAAAAATCGGTAGTTTATAAGCTAAATGTGCTCTTTTTAGGCTCCATAATTTTACAAGCCAATCGATCCGTTACACGTGATATTCTTCTGGGGTAAATATCCCTCGTTTTGTTCGGGTAAACTTCTCAAAAGCGCACAAAATGCATGGATTTATCTCCTAGGTTTTCAAAACACATTTTGTTAGATATTTTCAATAAATTTTTGGTATTCTCCTGGAGAAATTAATCTTTCGAAATAATTAGAAACAAAATAAGTTCAGTCAATTTGTGAATATTTTGTCTTAGTTTTGGTTACGATGGCAATATCATTGTACTGTTGTACTGTTTTTATTTACGTTATTTATACCGTGTGATCAAATGTAAACGTGTTATTTCAGTCAACTTCAGAGATTTAAATGTTTTTTTTTTATTCGAAAAAGTTTACGGTATAAGTACATGTTTACAAAATATTGGCGATCTGTCTAGTGTTAACTTCGTAATTTTAATTTATTTTATTGACGATACTTTACACAAGATTTAACTTATAAAAGAAAATCACTTTTATTACCTGAAGCTAATCAGAGTTAATCAGTGACTCTTCATGGAATTCGAAAAAGCGACATAAAAATGTAAAGTTTAGAAAGTTCTTTTTAGTTAAGAACACATCTTTCTAGACGTTCCGACCTCTCTAATATATAGAGAAGATTACAATGTAAGTCAATTTGGCACGAATTTAAGGTCTTTAGGTACAGCTACGTGAGAATTCAGAGATTCGCAAAGGTGATTGTAAGCAAATGCATTTGCCTATTAGAGATAATTTGAGAGCGTTTAATTTCAGCTTCTTGAGTAAATATGTGGCATTTTTCCGATAAATTTCAAAATCAATTTTCTTTTTAAACATATTAAAAACCAAATTGGTTCTGTCTTTATGATAAACCGTATGTTTATTTTGATACTATAGGGGTCAAATTTTATGTGTTTGTGCGTTGCGACAGACAAGAAAAATAGAACTTCAGGACAACTTACGAAAAGGGAACAGACTAGTAGGCGCTAGCGTAAAACGTTTCCGTAAACGAACTCTAACGTAAAATTATTATGCATTTTTTAATTGAATTATCTTTATTTATGTCTTATCCAAATCATAGCCAGTTTTCAATGTTATCGCGCTAATAGAAAACTCTTTTTTCTTTTTCACTGAGTCAGTCTTGGAGTCTTGGACTCAGGAGCTACATCATACATATTTACAAATTGCAATGCGGATGATAGTGCCGCTTAAACTAGATTATACTGAATTCTCTAAAATCATAACTGTAAAGCTAAACAGCCTCATTCAATTAATAAACGTTTATGTTATGACAGTCACGACGTTATAAAACCGCATAACTGTACAAGTATGGGTTAATGAGAGCGAGATTTTATCTTTGCATGGGTCGGTCTTACCTTTTGTAAATGTGTACTAATTAGGATTTTCTGTGCATTTCCATTTTTATGACCAACTGGAAAAGTGACGACACTGGTACGCTTAAATTACTTTTGAAATACGACGAAAATGTGTTTCTGCTTTTTACAAGATGAGTTAAATGTTTTTCAGTAAAATATACTAAGTGATACTGAAATCGCACCATCTAAAAAACGTTTAAAAGTTGATTACTATCCATAGTAGTTTTCTCATAATTTGTCATGGAAATATTTGCCACTGAATAGTTTTGTTTACAATTTTTCGTAAATACAAATTATTTTTTTTTTTCAATTTATATCTAATAAATTTCTCGCAATATCAAAAGAAGTTACTATAACTTGAAAATTGTATAGGGAATATTAATACAAATTGAAAGAAAATTAAATTCTCCTTCATTTAATGAACACAACATTGGACCGTTTTATTTAGAAAAGTTGAGTTAATGGTATTTGAAGTTTCCCAAACGTCACCTTAAATTTTGGTAGTTTGTAGATATTTTTTTCAATTATAAATCCACCAATAGAATGACTAAACCTTTCTTTTTTAAAAACTCAAATACAATTTTATAATACATAGTTAAAAATGACAGAGTTATTAATTTTTGAAGAGGAAGATTCAAATCCAAAAATTTTCAAAAAAGTCGAAAAATCTCAATTCTCAGAATCACTCAGAAAATCCAAAAACGTAATAAAAAACATAGCTTTCAATTTAAAATAGCAAAGTTGACACTCACTCACGATGCAACCGGAAGTGTCTTGAAAATATTTTTATTGAGCAGCTCCTAACCGATTGTGGCTATACAAAAAAATATAGATAAATATTGTTAGAATTTTCAATAGGTATTTTAAATGTGGGGTTTGGCCGGAACAGCCTGTATATGGTAGGTATAATTTGTCGATATTATGAAATGGTCACAAATTTTTTTCATAATAAATGAATGTGAGTAAGTAACAATCTGTTTTGGTGCGATTAGGATTAATATACTATATGGGATGGGATCTATTAGGTTGTTGTTGCGGTGGTGGAAGGGAATTTGGAAATCTTTGGGTACATGAGGTGTGATATCTGATACGTTTAAAGCAATTGGTGTAAAAGAGTTAATAATACAGTTGGCAATATAACAGTTAGCTAAACCTCTGGGCCATCGTGGTAATGGGCCTTGTGCGGCATCTAAATACAAGTGGCTACTCCGCCAACAACTATGATAAAAGGGAGACGGGAAATACGGAGACGGGACACGGAATCAACGGTCGAGAAAATGAGGTTGCGATGCTTTGGAGCGAATAATAGAAGATGCTGTACGTCCCCCAGTTGATGGTCGTCATCCGAGTATTTGTATACTATGTTCACTTTTCACTGAGTCAATCGTCAAAACAAAGGAATTAACTTTCTTCCAAGGTAAACTAAATGCCATTTAATTTAATGAAACCACACTGATTGGGGAGTACAGCAGTCTTTATTTCACCAAAATGGAATTGATCAAAAATCTTTAAATTGCTTGCTTTAGTAGTCCGGAACATTCATATGTTTGCCAGTCTAATTATCGTAACATTTTTATAAATTTGTATTGCAATAAAGTTAACTTAACTAAACTACAGGTTTTCAATAAATTTTAATTAAGAAAAAAACCTACAAAGGATATATGGAAAGTTTAACATCATTTGTGACATTTGTGATATTGTCGCAAAATTATCAGATATAAATAAAAAAATCAGTGTAAATAATTCCATAATTTTTTAAATTTGTTTAATTTTAATGGATGTTAGAATTTAGTCCTGCCCGAATTCCCGCCGCACTTGAAACCGAGGGGTCATCCACTGCTCACAATACTTATACAACTCTTTTAGGCAATACATTACAATACTCTACAATGCAATACAGTACAATACAATATTATGCAATACCAAACAATACTTAAAAATACCTGACATTACTTTGCATTACTAGACAATTTTTGACAATACACGGCAATACGTACAAAATTAGATAAAAGACCTTAAAAATTAATTTTTAGAAAGCAATTTGTCTAATTTCATTTGGCCAAGAGATAACGACAATTAGTGAATAAGCATTTTATAGTTTTCGGCCCTATAACACTGCTTAGGCGTCAAGACAAACTTTTCATAGACCGACTATATAGAGGTGTCTCAGCGAGTTGGGGAAGTTTATTATTGACCTTTGAATGTTAAAATTTTAAAAACTTTATACCGGGTGGGGCATCCGTTACGCCCAAAAAGAAAATCCCCACTTCTAATTAAATAAAATTGTTGAATTTTTTGACACTTACCTGGGCATTAATAAGGTACATTATCTAATTTTTGGTAATTTTTTATTCACAAACAAGGCCAAAAAAAAGTAATTTTTTCCCAAAAAAATTAATTCTAGTTTTTATACTGACCTACGCAGATTCACTTCCTACAATCGTTTACAAAATCAGAAAAAAAATACCAATTAGATTTTGAATTAAACGCAATTTTCCATCTTAACTTTGAAAATCATTTTTATTTATGACCTGCTACTTGTGCCATCGTAAATTTAGGTGACAATGGGGAACTGCAATTAGGGTAAGATTCCAAGGTTTACAACAAAAAGACCCTTTAAAGCGGTCGGCTACCAGTAAATGATTCTTTTGTTGGCAAATTATACCATTTTGTCATAAATCACGGGTCTGGTTTGTGTTTAAATAAAAAAAAGCGATTATTTGGCTAACCAAGTCAAAATTTGAAATTGTGATATGAAAGTTTGATGCTCTGACGTAAAACATACAAAACTATTACGGACT